CCCCAAAACCCCAAAACCCCAAAACCCCAAAACCCCAAAACCCCAAAACCCCAGCAAGTAGTTAGGAAGTTGAAATAATATTTAAAAAGAGTTAAGAAGATTAACTATTTCTTCACTTGAGTCAACTTGCTGCTTATCTTTTCATTCTTCATAAAGAATGTTTATAATCGCTTGTTTTCTTTTCTCAAGAGAGTTGACTCTCTTTACAGTTGTGACTCGGGAACTTCCTGGGAAGAAATACTTTCTATAACTACTTTGAACTCCTTTCTCATCATCAATGTCTCATTCCATCCCATGATCAGGAGTTTGGCCATGAGATGAGTCATAAATATCCGGTACTACCTCTGTAAGGTCAAGTTTCGGGACCAAAGGATGACCTTTAGTGTTATTTGCTGGTACTTCATTCTTCTTTGTATCTGTACTATAACTATGTAAACTTACCTTCATGATCGTCGCCTCTTCTCTCATCGCTGATCTGGCTGAAATTGGAGCATTCGGAATCGATGAAGTACTTGTTCATTTTCTCAACTACTTCTGCGTATTTGCCTCTGAGTCGTTCCTCCACCTTCTTGACATCGACTTTGTGTTGTTCAGAAAGCTTAGTGATTTCTTCCTGCTTGGACTTCAGCTTCAGGTCAAATTCCTTTCTGAGGGAAGCCAGCTCGAGAGTTTTGGAATTCAGTTCTGCAGAAAGGATTTTTGAAGTATTTTGGGATTTTTGGAGCTCTGATTGGTAGAATTTGTCAATCTTAGTTACAAGGTCTTTCATACCATTCAGGACTTGCCTTGTTTTGGATGATATCTTTGGATTGCTGGTGATAAAGGAGTTTACAGCTGAAATCCTGGTCTGAACATCACTTCTGAGAGTAATCTCTTGTTGTGTTAGAGAGAATAAATCAATGAGAAATCCTGAAGGGTTAGGCGAGTGTGATTGTTTCAGAGCTTTGCTTATAATTTCTGGCGTCCTAAAATTGGAAATGAGCTATTTTAGTGTAGAATTTGAAATTTTAATATGATTCTGAAACTCTTGGTTTTTAAAATAGTTTGGCTTTTAGTGCAAATCCTTACTTCTTGAATGATTACCATGTCTCTTGGTCTCAGTACTGTGGCTAATGTTGAATCTCCTCCTGACTCTTTTATTATTTCAGATTTTGGTTGAGTTCATACGTGCTTTCTCATTGTTGCTTCTTATTGGTGTGGAAATATCAGAGTAGGTATTAGAAAATTTTTTGAATGAAGTAGCTCTGTTGATACAACTTCCATGGCCGCTACCAGTGTGAGTAGAGAACCTCTCTCAGATTTCTGCAGTATCTCTGGTCCCACCAAGGCCTCCAATTATAGATGAATCCTTGATAAGCTCATTTTCTTGGATACTTTCAGGAGAATGAGTGAACAGGTTCTTTCCCGTTGTGATAGTCTTTTTCAGATATTTCTGACCTTTTGAGCTTGCCTTTGAATGAGCTTTAGAAGACTTCTTAGTTGATAGCATTTCTGCAAACTGTTTACTTTGAGCTGCAGAGTATTGGTCCAGATCTTTCATTTTATTTGAAAGTTTTAACAGGCAGGCATTTGGGTGCCTTTGAGGATTTGTTCCTATTTAATAGAAGTTATTATACGTATATAATTATGTTATTAAAACTCTGTAGGAATTGTATCCTCAAGACACTTTCTGGGCCTGATGAAGCTTTCTGGTAGAGAATTTAAATTATTCTCATATGATGGATTAAAAAAAGGCAAAACCTAGTTGGCACTTACTTGAAAGACATTAGCTTTCAATTGCTTTTGTGGTATTTTGGTAACTGGGTCATTTTCATTCCATTCATATAGCATGAGAAGGACGAATTCAAGCCTGATTTTGCTATAGAATGTGATTAATATTTGAAATCAAGTAGAAAATTCCACAATGCAGTTTAAATTTCAAGAAATTTTATTTTAGAGCTCTTGAAATCTGAAAATGCTAGCTAAATTCCCTATTTCTTACTTTTATTTGCGTGTGACGTCCTTATAAACATTTAACTGCTTATTGATATCTTCTCCGAAGGTTGGAGAAATTTCTCTCTTAATTCTCTTGCTAATTTTGTTCCCTTTTTTATAGTTCTAAAGAAGGGTAAGACGAATAATTATGTTAAAATTAATAGCATCATAGGCTTGGAAATCAAAGATGGATATTTTAAATACTTAAAGCTCAATGTGTTATCTTGAGGACTGTTCTCTTCCAAAATGTGATAATTCCTAAAAACTATCAGGCTTTGTTCTTGCTTTCTTAGTATAAAATAAGTAAATATTTTCTCTATCCAAAATACTGCCTCTAGCTTATGCCAAACTTCTAAGGTAAAAACTAAGTCCCAAGGGCTGAAATGTTATTTTTCCAACAAACGGTCTGGTTTCTCTAATGAAATGTTTCATCCTTATAAAGTGACAAATAGATCTGATATCTGGGAATAAACTTTAGTCCAATTTAGAGGTAAAGGGTAACTAAAACTACTCTGTCTTCTGCACCATTGTAGTAATCACTGATATTGAGGGAGCTCCTTTTGAGTGGCTTGTAAACCTTGGTTGGATACAAGCTAGGTGCAGTCTTATGTACAAGCAGTTTGTTCCTAAACAATCAGATCTCCACTTACAATCCGTATTGGTTGGAAGAGTGGTTCCTAGAAGAACTCTTTGTTGGCTTCGGAAAATTTCCAGTGTAATTGACTGCTTCAAAGCTTGAGTTGAAGGGATTGCTCATATTTTTGCTTTGGAATTTAAATAATTTTAAAATTGTTCTTTAAATTTTCAATTTTGGCTAGGAATGTTGGGGTTTTGGGGTTTTGGGGTTTTGGGGTTTTGGGG